TTATCTCCAGTGCGTTGCTCTGGAGACGAGATCATGTTCTTTACCCCCCTTCCAGTCCCATGCCATTCCATCACATCTAGGCACGGGAGCAGAAGATTCTAAATCCAGACAAAGTAAGGTTTGTGTAGGTCCCTAATCTACCTAGGGTAGCAAATGACAGCAGTTGGATTCTTTTACTTTACCACTACTTTATGTGAGGGTGTACCTAGCATATGTTGAGCTGGAGTGGTCAGGGTGGGGATGAGAGATTCTGAAGCACTGAAAACTTACTCAGATAAAGGATGAGGGCTGTGGTGGTTTCAAATTCATGCCAAGCTATGACTTAGCAAGCTGCTGCCTCTGTCAACCTCCCCCCACCCCCTTCTGTTGCAAAAGGCAGGTGGGCTTGGTTGGTCAGGTGCAACAGGTTCATCATACCTGACCTAGTTCTGCAATGTTGCACTTGGAACCAACTGAAATATGTTACTCTGAGCAATGTTTTAATCATTATCACTCCTGTTTTGGTGGGGGGTTTTGGGGGGGGGGAGTTGTCTGGCTCAAAGTCATCTGCTTTTGAAGGAAAGAATGTAACTTTTCCCGTCACTTGTGCTTGTGTGGGTCTCTGTGTGTCCAAATAACCAAAGACTCAATGAATGTCATCCAGAACCTGCAGCTCTTGGCTGCTTCAAGTTTATAACCAGCCGTGGTGGTGGAGGGGAGAATGACCTATTGATTTCCAATGCTCTGACTGAGTGATGGGGGCCTTTCAACCTCCCACACCTTTGCGCCTCAGTGAGCAGGAAAGAGAGATTCAATTAGTGAATGCCTTGTCTGATGGAAATATCTAGCCTGGCCTTTGCTCTCTGCCATACCCACTTTGGATCAGAGCTTCATTTGGCATTAGAAGGATGGCTGCTTTTCAGCTGCATTCTAGCATTCCATAAAATATAGTTGAAGGATGCTTTATAGACCAGAGCAAATGGCTCATCCATAAGCACTGAAGAGCCCTGCTGGATAGAGCTAAAGTCCATTTGGTCCAACATTTTGGGTCCCACAGTGGCTGACCAGATCAATTCAAGAACTGGCAAACATCAACAAGAGGATGATTGCTTACTTCCACTGTTACTCCCCAATAGATGGAATTTAAGGTCTGCTCCTTATGATATCAGAGCTAGTAAACACCCATCAAGTCCAATACCTTTTGATAGGCCTCTCTTTCAATGATTTGTCTAGCCCCTTTTAAAAATGATCTTGGCAGTGGCCATCACTGCAGCCCATGGTAATGAATTCTGTAGTTCAACCTTGTTTTGCACGTGTACATGTTTTCAGAAGCATCTTTGTGAAGTCCAGAATCTAATACAAAGGAGGCATTAGGTAACCTTGCTTATTCATGCCATGAAATGGCTATTAGTAAAGAATGTTTGTAATACTAAAGACTAACCATTATCAGAGCAAGAAGGGCTGTAGCTCAGTGGTATAACACATAGTCTGTGTGTCAAAGATCCAAAGTTCAGTGTTAGTTCAGGTAGGATTGAGAAAGACCCCCATTTGAAGTTTTGGTGAGCTTCCAGTTATTATAGACCAGGGTTTCCAACCCTCTCCAATTGTATTGAGACTACAGCTCTCTAAGATTTGGTAATAATGATGTCAACACTGTCTCCTTTTGCCCAAATTCCTTTTGGGTGAGTCCTGGATTTTGGTCTTGACATGCATGTTGGATGCCACCAGTAAAAAAGTACAGAAATTGCAACGTGTTTCTTCCATTTCTATACTAAAGCAACCTCCATTTTCATTAGTTCTGTTGTAAATCCTGAATGTGTGTCCTCTGATGTCCCAGGTAGAATGATTCAAAGACTCAATCCATCTATTCCTGCTCTCAGTGGGAAACTGACATAATGCTGCAGTAAAGAGCTACTGTGTTATTGGGAGCAGAAGAGCATTGGCCAATTAAAATGCTGTCAACTTTTAAGGGCTGATTCTTTTCATGACAATCAAAAGGATGCTTCCTCTTGAACAGAACCATTTCTACATCATCATTGTGGAGGTTTATTCTGGCTTAGCTGAGAAAAGATGTATTTCTAAGCAATGGATCCCATTGGTCAACAGAGAATAAAAACCTGCTGGAGATAGACTTTCTGTGCACTGCAACCAGGTTCTCAGATGCCCTCTTTGGATTGGTATAAGGGATGGCTTTTGGCTTTGTCCAATGCCACTTTTCTCTTCACTGGTATGTCAGTGAGCTAGAATAAGCCACCTTTTTCTGACTGTTCAGATTTCCCCCACCCCATCCCCAAATCCATTAATAGTGAAGTTTTTTTGTTTTGTTTTTTCATTTCAGGGACCTCTGTGTCCAATTCTATCAACTACACAGACTGAATGATCAGTGTTGTCCAAACTGTTCTGGTTAGTCCCCTGGACCCTGGGTCAGAAACCTTTCCTGTTTTGAAAGGAAAAGAGGAAATGACTGTGGACACATTGACTTCCCAATGCAAAAGGAGGGAGAACAGTGACAGAGCAACACAGGGCATGATCTGATGGTGGAGAAGATGTTCAAAGGCCAAACAGTTTCCAACTACATGGGCACCCCTGAGTTTCCTTGTTGGGATCAGGTGCAATGAGTACATTTCCTTGTTGGTTTGTTAAGTTTCATCAGCCTAGACATGGACTGACAGGTGTCCTTTTCTTTCATTCTAAGTTATTGTACTTATTCCTTTGCACAGTTTAGGCCACCTTGGTTAAAATTGAGATGTCTGGGGGCAGAAGGCTGATTTGAGCCCCATCTTCTTGCTATACCTTAGGTCAATGAACCTTTTTCTCCATAGATTTTTTTTTTTTCTTTTGGTCATTGAAGCCAATGGTCTAGGAAATGGAAATTGCTGGGGAAATGACACTTTGGACTATATTTTAACAGACTAGTTTTACAGCCCTGAGTGATAAGTATTGCCATCTCTGATGATTTCAAATATTGAACCATACATTGTGGGTGGACCTCTTCCATGTATGGTGCCTAAAGCAGATATCCCCACTGACTCCACCCCAAAGGCTTTGTGTGGAAGTGGAGTTTTTGGAATCCTTCCACTAGCCTCCTCCCAACAATTCTAGCATAACATTGTTTATAGGATGAATAGAAGATGTAACCAGCCAGCATCACATCTGGCTTGCTAGTTTAGTGATTAGCTCAAATGATGACACATCCTCCTGTGTATATTTACCCTGCAGGAAGCTACAATGAGACTAGTGTGCCTAGGACTATAAGCCATTTTCTCATATGTTTTTCCCTTATCTTTTGCTGGCAGAGGCCTAGGTTTGCCAACATTTGAGCCATAGGTTCTCTACTAACACCAGGTTGAACTGTAGTCTCCAAGGAGATCTTATTTAGCTCTGCCCAATTCTGCTGTCTACATTTTAAATTTACTCTAAAGCTAAAACTGGCTTCCTCAGCCTGGAGACCTCCAGGTACTGTTGTAATACACATCCCATAATTCTTAGCCTGCTAGCTTCATTTGGTGGTATCAACTGGGGAAGATGGGACCTATAATCCACTTAGAAGGGACCAGGTTGGGGAAGACCAAGTCAAAACATCTGTAGGAATTCTAGATAACCTGAACTTTGATTTTAAAATGAAATAGCCAACAATTTCTTCAAAAAGAGACAATTTCACATGACTGTCAGCTCCTGGAAGTGGTGGCATCTACTTTGGCCATGCTGATCTGTGATGATGGAAATAGGAACACAACACAACAACTAGAATGTTCGGGAAGGAGGCTGTAAAGCCAGAGAAAAAAGGTTAAAATAGCTGTGTTCTGCTGCTGTTGGACAGTTTGCAATTCTTTGGATGCCTGGCCATCATACAGTATTTATCTTGGAGGTCAGAATTGGAGGTTAAAGTTAGGATAATGAAGCAATGAGTTTTCATTGTCAGCTTCTTTCCTAGGAGTCATCCATCTGTGCCACCATCTGGGTCATTGATTGCAAAGACTTTTCTGTTAATAATGGTAGTAATAGTAATAGTAATAATATCGGCATTGACAAAATCACCATCAGTCAATTGCAAAAGGCAGCTTTACTTGGAACAGCTCTGTACATCTGTGACGATACCTTTAACACCATCAAGCAACAACATCTGCTTATCCCAGGTCCTTGGGAAGGACTCAATAGGAGGATACAAATGCCAAATCCAGACCAAACATCTGGCTGACTGTACAACCAACAACAATATGGTTCTGATCTGTTTCTTAATGGTTAATTGCCAACCTTGTGAGTTTTAAAGTCTGGTTTGAGTACCCCAGCTGCCACTGTCCCCAGATAGCTTATATGGATACATAACTTTTTTTTCAGGCTAAGGGTTGCCCTTGAACTTTGAATTTCATGCTGGGATTTGGGAAAAAAAAAACAGTCTGGCCAAGAGGACAAAAAAGTATTAAACTTTATCATGCAGAACTCTTAAATTCTTCTTGTATAAGACAGGAGGACAATCAAAACAAATATAGTCTACTTTTGGTAGACTAATGAAGCTGAGATAAAATGGTTGACAAATGAAGTGTGTTCAGGATTTGGCCAGCTCTGTCCCATTCCAAATTATTCCATTTTTTCCCACCTGGAGATTTCTGGAGGCATTTGATTGTGTAACAGAGAAACAGGCTATTCAAGAAATAATTTTTGGTTTGATCAGCAGAGTTTTTCTCATATTAATTCTTCAGAAACCTGAATGATGGCAGCAGTGGTGGTGGTAGGAGTTCCCCGTTTCTGCTTTTATTTTTCACTTACAGCAACTTGATGAATTTCAGATCTCTGCTCCTTCATCTTTCCCCAGGCTTGAAGTTAGGTCAGAGTGAAAGTTGGCCTCCGGAGTTCTGTATTCCAGTCAGCCCCACTGCACTCAGTGAGCCAGATGGGGTCAGGGAGTTAAATGCCTGTCCATAGGTTAAGAAGGATGGATAATTTTATGGCTGTGACAATAATTTT